GTTTGCAAAAGCTCTCTTACACTCCATTCTGCATCCTGGGGACTGAATGCAGGCTGCATTTCTGCTAATGCGCTGTGACTATTCTAGGTTACTCTAGTTCAGGGCCGTGGACTTGTTTGGCTGTCTGCTAGGGAATCCCAGGGCCGTGGACTTGTTTGGCTTTCTACTAGGGTATCCCTTGTGTATTTTGTACAAAAGTCCTTTGCTGATTTTGTATATTTTTTGAAGCTGGTTTTGTTCAGAAAATAGCAAATGGTTTAATCCCAGAGAATGCTCAGCCTCGGCTGCTTCTTGCTCTTCACACGAGGAGGACTCTAGCGACCCTCGCTGTAGTTCTGAAGCAGAACACTGCTCCTGCTACTGCTGCTGCTGCTGTTTGGGGGCCCTGGAGCAATGATGCCTCAACCATTTGATGAGATGCTGGGACACCCTCCATCCCAACAGCGGGATGAGCCCAGGTGTGCAGACGTTATGTGTGCGTAGGGAATTCTGTTGGAAATGCTACTCTTATTCCAAATAGCCAAAGCCTGTTTCAAGAGATTCCCATTTCCCAGGTATTTCTCATGGGAACCCACATGCGTCACTGAAGTCTTGGAATTTTCTTACTCTTTTTTTTAATCTTACTTTTTGTGTTGTTGATGTAGGGTGGATTGGTGTTCATGTTGTAGACCAGCTTTTTCTAGCTCTCACCTCTTTTAAGGATTTCCACGTGCTTTGTAAAAATGTTTGAACTGCAAAAAAAAAATGTTTCTCTCCTGCTTCAATTATGAAAATTGAAACTGCAAGCAAAAGAGACGAGCTGGGATAATTCGGAGTCTATTACGCTTAGGGTCAGGGATTCTCACAGAAGTGCTGTCGCTGAGTCTGCTGTAGGAAGAGATTACCTTAAGTCCCCATTCATGCTGGCTTTCCTTCCTGACTTGTTTATTTTCTCGGACTATGGGAGCACAGTAGTCGGAGTACTGCTCTCAGGGAGTCTGCACTTAGTTCTTGTCTGAGGATTTCTTCCTAGATGGGCTCTGGGATCATGTTAGCAGGCATATTGTTTGCTGAAATCGAAGCTTCCCGGGGAAATTAGGGTGGTTAATTTAATAGCATGAAATGTTTTGGGGCTTCTCAACTTATTCAGAGACCAAGGAGTGCAAATCAAATTATTCTGTATAAAGTAGAGGACAATAAGTTACCTTCAAAAAAAAAAAAAGAGCAGCTTTCGCTCTCCCATCCACTGCCTTCCTATTCTTCCTAAGAAGAGCATAGAAATCTCATAGCGTCTCCTTCTGGGGATCCCTGCTGGGGGACACACCATGTCTTAGGGAGCCAGGAGGTGTTGAACCCTCTATGGACTCAGAGGGAAATAATACTTAGGTGTATTCTCTTGTCATAACAGGGACCACAGGGCAGCAGCCAGGACCCTGTGACAAATGGCTCAGCACTTTCTTCCATGGACCTGTGCTAAGCACAAGGAGACACAATTTAGCATTGATGAGAAATACATTTCTTGCCATCCGGGAAGAAGAGGGGCAAAGCGTGTCAGGCCCAGTTGCTGGGCTCCTTCTGCTCACATTTTCAGAGTTCTTTTTGCCCATGCCCCCCTGAGTGATGGTGTGCTTGGCATGGTGCGCGCAACGAGCTTTTCTCATTCGTCTTGAAGAGGGTCTTTGAGTGAACATTTTTCAAAGGCGTGATACAGACCTTTGACCCGAGCACTTAAAACACACATCAGCAGCCTCCAGCATACCAGACTCTCCGAAGCAAACTGCTAAATCAAATGCTTTGGCTTCAGCTACCAGAAAGTTCTCTGTGTGTTTATTAGTTCTCTGTTCCAACTCTGACAAAGAAACGCTGAGCTCGCTTTTTCTGTTGTGGTTTTTGTTGTTTTTTGTTTTGTTTTCCCGTCCCTCTTACGTGCTTTCAGACTTGGATGTCTCTGAGTTGTTATTTTGGGAAGAAAAGGCCATCTGGGAATGGCAAGATGGTTCTCTGGCTAGAGATGCTTGCCACCAAGCCCGATGACCAAAGTTCAATCCGTGGAGCTCACGTATTTTGAAGGGAAGATCAGAGTCGCTCAGTTTGTCCTCTGACCTCCACACCCGCTCCCTTGAATAAATAAATAAGTGTAAAAGAAAAGGCATCTGTCTGAAGCAGGCGACTGCTCATTTTGTTTGGGGACCCAGTGTTTACATGAAACGGGAGTGACTGTGAACTGTTAATTGGGCTTTTTGTGAATCCTCTGCTGCTCGGCTCTACAAAGCTGTACCAGCGGGGAGGTGGAGTCAGCACTGTTTTCCATGTGCCTGGCAAACCCCACAGGCGTGTAGCACCCATGTAGACCTCCTCACAGTGCACCTTGAGCCTGGCCCTTTGACTAGCAAGGTGGGGATAGATACAGGTCCTGTTTGGTTTCTGTACAGTGAGAGTGAATGGACACCATCTCCATTACAATAAACGTCTCCTGGGCAAGCACGCCTAAGCATAAATATTTTAAATTTTGATACATTTCATATGTGCTAAAGTAAGCTATGAAATACAGCCACAGAGATGCTTACATTCCGTCTCCGTCTTCCCTCTGATGAATAAACAAATAGGTGTCAATGTGTGCCTCTCACTGAAAATTCTTAAATATCACACAATTAATAATGTATTTGACCTCTCTGATTTTACCTTAAATGATCATGGTCCTCTTGTCCACATCATTTTGTGACCTGGGCTTTATGGGTCTCATGTAACACCTGAGTGCAGATTTTTATAACTCATTAAGCTTCCCTCCCCAGGCTTTTCATTCTCTTCCCACCTCTCTGCGATAGGATTTCCTCCACTCTTATTTCTACAAATTGTTCTTTTCTCCTGAAGATTCTATTCTTTTCCCTTTTGGGCGGGGATCTGTATGTTTAGAATCTCCTCTTTGGTTACTGATGCCTCCCAAAAAAGAGTGGAAAACACTCCCCAAATCCATCTGCTTGCAGTGTGCTAACATTGCAAATCCCTCTCTGGGCTGCACACACACTCGAGTGGGTTCCCCACAAACGGCCATCTTCCCACACCCCAGACAGTCTGATGATTTTGATACTTTTCTACTTAGGCGAATGGTGCGTTTTTGCCGAATTCAGCATGTTCGTTGAACAATTTCTTGGAGCCCAAAGCCAGCCCTGCCGAGTTTCTGCTTGGTAAGGTTTGGTGGCCTTGACGTGGAGCAGAGGCTGTTGATTCATTGGCCTTTTAATTGATGATAAATCTGGGCACTGTGCAGCAAGACTAGACTGCCCGAATAGAACCACTGCCCAGAAAGTGACTGCCCCAGTACAGATCCAAAGGCATCAGCAAAACCGTGTGAAGAACAGCTCCAGAAAGCTGGGGGACTGAAGAACCCTGTAAGTCCATGTACGCCAACGTTAGCCAGGACTTGGAACACTAGGTGTAGAACTGGTCAACCTCAAGGATGCTTCTGCTTTCAGAGACCTGTGTCTTAGTTACTTTCAATTCTGGACATCATCAATTTTAAGCCTTGTCACCCTGATGACTGTCTGTCTGGGTGATGCGGCTTCATAATGCCATACCGGACCTGAGACAGCACGGGAACTTACATATGCTTACAGGCTCACAGTCCATATACTTTTGCAATGATCATAATATTCTATCTTCCTTTGGTAAAAAATAAAATGAAATAAAACCCTCTGTGAGAGTTTTATTGTTACTTTGGCGTGTTTCGTGGAGAACTGATTTGGGATATATTAATGGAAGTTACAAATCAAAATACCAGCCATAGGAAATGATCTTCCTAAAAAGGACTCTTTTTTTTTTCATTTCATATATGTCTCCATGGAAAAAGTTTCAAGTACAGCCACACTTTCAGCTTGCCCTAACAGCGGTGTCCTCTGCAAAGGGCCGTAGTCATTTTCTGTACGACATTCTTTTCTGTACATTGCGGTTTTAGGAATTAAATGTATGACATATAGTAGAAGTTGGGTGTGGTCATGGTAATATATACCCTGATTTACTATTTCACAAATAATAAACATTTTGGGGCTGTCTGTTTGAAGCGGTGTCTGTTGTGGATTACTTCTCGACTAAAATCCCTAAGTCCTCAATTGGGATGTCTCTTACTCAAGGCATCTTTTAGAAACACATTATTTTCCTGCATTTAGGACGGGAAAGGGGAATTAAAAAGGAATCCTAAAAATAGGTGCATTTAATTCTCCCCAATTTAAACGTAAGTGGCGCATCTTTTAGGCAATAATGCTGTTCTTTTTCCTTCTCCATCACAAACACACTTCCATCAATGAATTTCCTTACTGTTGGCGATAGTTAGTGCAGTTTGAGGGAATCTGTATTTATTCAGAAAATGTTCCCATAGAATGACCTACCAGATGGACCCCATAACAATGCACGGAGACAACAAACCACCACAGACATTTGGTGCTTAGAATAATAAAAAGACTATAAAATTAGATTAGTTGAGTCTAATTTGGAATCGGTATATTCCCCATGCACCCTCACCGCTCTTGGGCAGATAAAGCCTTGAGATTTAGCGCTGTGTCAAAGCAAAGACTGTAAGTTCCAGTAAAAGAGAGACGAGGGAGAGGGGGGGGGGGGAAGCATTCTGGGAGGTCGCGGAGGGCAGAGCAGTGACCTCCAATGATTTACAGGCCTTTAGCTTAATGAAATTGTTTCAGTGACATGACGGTAAGAGCTCGTAATGGATTGGATGCCCTAATGTAATGAAATTACTCCCTTCTGCCTAAAAAAAAAAAATGCGCAATTAATATTTACTGAGACCTGACAGCCTTTGGTGCGCTCGCCTGTGTAGTTCCCTCAGACAGTCAGAGAGAAGAGACGGAGCAGCGTGGCAGACAGGCTGGCTCTGCAGGAGCTCCTGGCAGTGACAAGCAGAGCCTGCAATGGGTGGAGGGACCGGCGCTTGGTGGCCAGGGAAGCCGGCTAGCCGCCCAGCCCCTCACCGCTGCCCCTGCTCTGCCTTCATGCTCTCCCTTGCTTTCCCACAGGCAACTGGACAATAACCACATCAGCTGCATTGAAGATGGAGCCTTCCGAGCGCTGCGCGATTTGGAGATCCTGTGAGTTAATTTTTGCGATTGCTGCCTTGAGAGAGTGTGTATACATTGTGCGGAGAGAAAAGAGGGGGAGCGTGTGCGCAGGGGGGGTCTTTGTGGGTGCATTTCTGGGTCTTCTGCTGCAATGCTATTAAAAATCGGGCACCGGGAGATCCCTCCGGCTTACCTTGGCCAAAGTGTTTGCCGGCTGCAAAGTGTGATATCTCACCTCCCACAAACTGGGGTTCCTCAGTCGAGCTGTTTCTCTTATGCTCCCGCTGTATTTGTTGGAGCAGATGGCCAGAATAGCCCCCCAGCATCTGTCTGTGTATTCAGGGAGCGGCTGTCTGAGTGTGGGCAAGACAGGGAGACAGGTTACAGGTCTGTGGACAGTGACAGAGCGGTTATCACCAGAAGGTGAATCGGAATTAGCCAGAAGCAGGGAGGGACCTTGGCACAGGACAAGGGGGAATAACAGACAGAGGTCCAGTTATTGCTTCGGCTCCTGAGATCTTATCTGAGGCTTAAATTCAAACTTTAAATAGTAGCCTTAAAGTAGTGGGGATGAAAAGATGAGGGGGGAAATGATTCCTCCTTGAAATCCCACCGTGTATACCTTATGTAGAAACACCACACACACACACACACACACAAAGATTGTCCTCCTGTGTCTTGGATTTTTCACATGCTCTCACTAAAGAAACCTGCTTTCTGGAGAAAAGTCACTGAGGGGTCATGTTGGGGTCGTTCAACTAAAGTTAGATTTTGTTAGAAAACACTTTGATTGTTTTCCCCAGCAGGTACACTGCTCACTGCCCTTGATGTGGGGAAGCCTGGAGAGGAAGCAATAAAGCATGGTAGAACTTAGGTCAGGGGCTGTGCAATTCAGTCCTTATCCAGCCACTAATTAGTCATGTGACCTTGGGCAAGTCCCTTTGGCTCTCAGAGCCTCAGTGTTCTCTTTCCTAAAAGAAAGGAGTTTATTGCTCTCACTTGAGAGTGACTAGCCTTCTCCAAAATCTGCTAAAATCATTACATTGGAGCAGATCTAGCGTCAGAGTGGTGAGAGAATAGGATGAGTTGAGCATCCTTGGGGGTGAAATTACATAGTTAGATATTTCCTGCGCTGCTTGCAGTGGAAGAATGAATGGTTGGCTCAATGAATGAATGTGTCAGAATATCCCTTTGTACCTAAAGGAGGGTGCATAGTCTGCCTTTTCACCTGGAAGACACCAGCAGTGGGTTGAAAGATCCCCTGCACCTTGCTAGAGAGGAAGGTGATTTTTAGGAGGAATCACGGGAAACAGAGGGGATGCCGATGCTGCAAGCTACTCGCAATCGCTTGCAAGCTGAGGATTCCTGGCATAGAAAAGAAGGGACCCACAGACAGGAGAGGTCAGATTGTCAGTCCTGAGATGGATGGTCTCTCCTCAGCAAACTCTGACCCCGGAACCAGCAACAATTGCATGTCTGTGGGAGAGTGTGCCAGGTCGAATTTAGCAGCCCAAGTCTTCTCTTCCTGGGAAACTGGAGTTGAGAAGGGGAGGCGTGATTTTCCCTGCCTTCGAAAAAAGCCTCTGTAGAAAGGTCTGTTAGGAACCTGTCACCTTTTACTCCTTGCAGGGGAGAATGAGAAAGATGAGAAAGTGCCTTTCTGAAGAAAGAGAAGTCACAGCTGTCACCAAACAGCTGTGATGACCTGTCAGCCCCTTGGTTAGCTCTCTACCAGTGACGTCTGAGGGAGTCTTTGGGGGAAAAGAAGCGTTTAGGATAGGCTCACATTAGAAGGAACTAAGAAGCCATGGACTTGGGTCAAGCTTTGTGACCTGTCACCTTTGAGAAGGGACCACACAGGAGGTCCTGTAAATGTTGTCCTTCCGACATCTTTCTCCCTACTGCGCCTTTGTCCAGGTCAAAATTCCTGCCCGGGACATATTTGAACAATTCCTCCATTCTCAGATTTTTACAGGGGAAAAAAGTGATATCCACACATATCAGGTGTTGCAAAGTTAAAATCTAGAAATCCATGGCCAAATAATAACAGTAATAAAAACTTCTCATTCCTCATCATTGCAGAAGGCCTGCAGGATCTGAATCGTTTATCTTCTCAATTCCAAACAAAGACAGATCAATAGCTTTGTTTTAAAGATGCTCATTTGGCTTCACATGGCTAAGCACTTAAAATTAATCACAATCAGTTATTCCATGGCTTTTTTAATTTCCAGCAGAGGCACGGAGCTTTGAGAACATCCATCTTAATGGTGAGCCATTCTGAAATTGGCTAAAGTTGACATCTCCATTTAAGGAGCCTCTCCTCCCCACCCTAGACCTTCAAAACATCATCTACACATTGACATTTTATAACACATCTCTGTGACCAAAAGTTAGACACCATAAGGAATCTTGTCAATGAAACAATGGACAGGAACTAAGTGGAGGCATTGCATATTAATAATTTTTTTCAGCTATAAATATGTTCAAAATACATTAGCCCTAGAAAGGTTACTTATAGAATCCTGGAAAATAATTATTTGCATATTGAGAAAACTGTCATGGTTCAGATGTACTGTGACATTATGTAGTGTGTGGTAGGAAACAAGGAATGGGGTGTGCTTATCTCATGGAAAGTTCTAGAGATTATTTGTCTTAAGGACAATCTGAGATGTCGACCCCTCAGGGAATATTTCACACTCGTAATGCGCTTTCCCCGTCTTTCTCATAGTTGGAAATGCCGTAACTTTCCTTTGCGTTGAAAAGTTGGTTTTGTTCATTACATTGAACGTGAACTCAAAACGTGGCTCTGAGCGGGAACCACAGACAGTGAGGAGATCATGGGGCCAGGGTAGGAAAGAGTGAAAGGCGCAGTGTCCCCTCCATGGTGGCTGTGCCCTGTGGGGACTGTTCAGCTCAAGGTGTAGTGAACAAGGAAAGGCAATGTCCCCTCTGTTTTCCAGTCCACAGAAAGGGGAGTAAGAAGAACAGGAGTGCAACTTCTTAAGTCTGGCACGCCCTCACAGTGGAGGAGGGATGGCGAAATGGGCAGAGCCGGCAGTTCATCCAGCCCACCACCACAGCCAGCGCTTGTTCATCCCACGCAGTTCATCCCACCACACCACACCACACCCCAACACTTCCTCACATTGGCTATCTGCCTGCCCTCAGCCCCCCTCGGAAACTATTCCCATCACCCTCCTTTCACAGTAGTTTTACAGTAGCCAATAAACTACTAGGCAATAGGCAGGCCAGCCTCTGTGGCCACTACACCAAGCCGCCTCACTCGTCCTTGTCGCCAAAGCTTGAGATGTTAGGCTCGCCCCCAAGCACTGTGTGCTGCAGGGTGATGTGACCTGTTCTCCGAGAGCTGAGCTAGGCAAGCTGTCAGAACTTCCCACAAGCTCACAGAACTGCTCTTCTTGTTCCCTTTACCCAGCTAACCAGCCCCTCAAAGTGCAAGGTGCCTCCTGGCGCAAAGCCCCCCCGCCAAGAGTAAGATAAATCAAACTCATGGGAGAAAGTAAAAGCAAACAAAAAAATCTTTCTTTTCACGTATTAACGCTGTAACTGCAGGGAGGATTTAGTCTCACTTCTGTTTGTTTTCCTGGCACTCAACAGTTTGGGGCTTTGTTTTCCTGGCACTCAACAGTTTGGGGCTTTGTTTTCCAGAAACTCTACACGCATGTGTGAGCACACACATGCACGCACACACACACACACACACACACACACACACACACACACACATCCAGATGTGATTTTCTGTTATGTAAAGTTTTGGGGAACACAGGCTTCTGTGGGTCAGACATCCCCTCGTCAGTCCAGTGGTGACCTGTTCACTTCCGCCTGCCCTGCGCATTTTGTGTGAGCACACACATGCACACACACACACACACACACACACATCCAGATGTGATTTTCTGTTATGTAAAGTTTTGGGGAACACAGGCTTCTGTGGGTCAGACGTCCCCTCGTCACTCCAGTGGTGACCTGTTCACTTCCGCCTGCCCTGCGCATTTTGTGTGAGCACACACATGCACACACACACACACACACACACACACACACACATCCAGATGTGATTTTCTGTTATGTAAAGTTTTGGGGAACACAGGCTTCTGTGGGTCAGACTTCCCCTCGTCACTCCAGTGGTGACCCGTTCACTTCCGCCTGCCCTGCGCATTTTGTGTGAGCACACACATGCACACACACACACACACACACACACACACACACACACACATCCAGATGTGATTTTCTGTTATGTAAAGTTTTGGGGAACACAGGCTTCCGTGGGTCAGAGGTCCCCTCGTCACTCCAGTGGTGACCTGTTCACTTCTGCCTGCCCTGCGCATTTTGCATCTTTCTCCAGGTAAGTTGAGTCATGCGGTGGCCGCATGTGATGAACCTGCAGTCTGAGCTTCCTGTGCTCAGGATGTCACAACCTAGGTTTGCAGCCCTTGTCAGCCTAAGATGAAAATGGCCAGGGAGTTCTCAGTTAGACCAGGCGCATCCCTGCCCAGCATGTTGTGTGAATGAAATGCAGCAGCAAAGAGTTTAACTTGGATAAACATTGAGAGGGCGGTGGGGGGCGGGGAGAGACAGGTGCATCCTTGGGGCTTGCTGGCCAGCCAGCCCAGCCTTCTTGGAGCACCCAAGCCAGAGACTCCATTTCAATGACTGTCGCTTGCAGAACAACACCGAAGTTGTCGTTTGATCGTGTAGACACGCACAGGCTCAGCCACACATACAGTGAGAAAGCCTATTAATAAGATAGGTAGTTATTTTTTCAGGAGTTTATAAGAGATGAAAAGATATTTTTTAGACATTTCTGGAGTAAATGTAGCAAGTAAGAATTTCAGAAGGTCTTTATCAGAAAATAGGTAACCAAAAAAGCCAGACTGTAGATGTCAGGAAAACAGATCCAGGTACCAGCTCAGTAGCATGGAGATCCCGTGGTCTGTAGATAATGAGTGTGTGTGGGTTTCAAGGTCTTGTTCCTACTTAGGTCATTAGCCAGCTTGGGAAAT